AGAGAGAGAGAGAGAGAGAGAGAGAGAGAGAGAGAGAGAGAGAGAGAGAAAGAAAGAGAGAGAAAGAGAGAGAAGGGTGAGAGGAATGTATAATATTATACTTATATATAACAAAATATACAAGAGTTATCCAAAATATTGACATCTTCGATGATGTGATATGAATGGTATTAACAATAGAAATAACATGAAGCATATTTGAAACGAGTCATAGTTCAATAGTGTATAATATTTTGTGAAATCATACGAATAAAATCAAATAGTAATTAGTTGTCTCTTCAAAAACATCGATGATATAATTCATGAGACTTTTCACTTACGATGCTTTATTAGCATTGTTACTGCAATTCAAGAGTATCTAAACGTAAGATAGTAATTTTTCTGAAGTATCTCGGATATTTAGCTTTCTAAATGCCACATGCTTTTCCACTATTTCATTTTAAATGTTTAATATGTCTACATTAGTCATTTGATTCTTACACGAAAGGTCCGTATTAACAGTTGTTACTCAAAATTTGTTTCAAGTAAGATACTCAGATTTGAATTTAAACTAAGGGCCGCATTAATAGTTGTCACTTCAAAACTTGTCTCATGTGAGATACTCAGATTTTTACTCTGAATTAAATCCGAATGGTTCCATTGAATTATATATATGTGACATTATATATATAATCACGATTCAACTGGGAAACTTTCATCTGCCTCTGAACTCAAATCTAAGTATTTAATTTGAGAGAAGTTTCAAATGACGACTATTAGTATGAGCCTTAGACGTGAGTTTGTCATTTGAATTGTATCATATGATGTTAAATTTGTAATTGCGACTCAACTGAAAAATTTACACTTAACTCCAAATCCAAATATCGATCTTTCACTTGAAGTTTCAAGTAACTACTATTAAAACCGGTCTAAGATTCATGTTAATAGTTAAAACTTGTTTCAAGGTGAGATATCCAGATTTAAATTGAAGATAAGATGTGAGCTCTTCAGTTGAATTGCAATTACAAATATAATATATATCGAATATATCGTATGATACAAATAAGCTGGTATAACTTGAGATTCGGATCCGAATACATTACATAAAACAAATTTTAGATAAGAGCTATTAATACGGGCCTTGGACCTCAAGATACGGAGAGAAACAAGCGGGCAATAGCTCACGCTAACGCGTGACGAACCCACTAGTAGTTTGCGCGGACGCAAAGGGAGACGATAGCCCCATTCGTCGTTCCCGCGCAACCCCATTTCCTAATATCGCAAATACTCGTGCGCGCGCTACACGCGTCGCGTATTCGAAGACAGGCTGCTAGTAACGCAGTGCGACGTTTCATTTCATCCGTCAGCGCGAATTGACATCCTTCTGGAGGATGGTCTCCTCTAGGGATCAGCTCTGGCGACGCGAAGCTATCGCCTACGTCTACGTGATTAGGGCGATTAACTTACGCAGCGTATGCGAAGGGTGCGCGATGCGTGGCGGGTAGCAGGGCGACCGTGGCCGCGAGGAGGGCGAAGCTCCAGGAGGCGATGTGAAAGGACCCCATGTTTGTCCCCCGGAGTCGTCGCGGCTGTCCGCGCTCTCGTGAGAAGGAGAAGCACGACACCACCCCGCCGCTGAGATGGCGAGGACGAGGACGGCGACGAGGACTACGTCGACGGCTGTTCCGAGGCGTTGCTACCTGGCGCGTTGACCCGGCGCCTCTCTGCGTGTCGTCCGTGTCTCACCCTCCCTCCCTCCCTCCCGCCCGCCCCGCCCTCTAACCCCCGTCTTACTTCCTCTTCGAGCTCCTCTCCGTGTGCTTTCCGACTCTCCGTTTTCTCTTGAACCTCCCTTGCTTCCCGACGCTTTTCGCTCGATCTTCGGTCTCGTTCGTTGTCGTCACTAACACTCTCACGACGATCCCTTTGTTCTTTTGCGAACACTCGAGCAACGACGTCGACCGGCGATCCGTAATATCGCGGCACTCGATTAACTCGTGACGATAAGACTCCCCTACCGCGAGCGCATCACCCGCTTCGGCCTCGCGAGGTGTGCGACGTCTTCCTTCGCCTGTGCACCTCCGTAACTCGCGCTGAGATTACAATGAGGTGTCTTGCGATTAGCCGTTTTGCGATGAACGGTGATACGCGGAGCAGCAGTCTCGCGAAGGTGTCGAGCGCGACGGTGTCGTCAGCGAACACCCCGCGATCCTGCTCTCAGCTCTTACTTGCGGATCTTCCTGCTCCCGTCTCTCTCTCTCTCTCTCTCTCTCTCTCTCTCTCTCTCTCTCT